ATGATCTAAATATGAAAAATCAAATTAAAAAAATGATAAAAATAATGAGATAATATGAAGAAAGAATAAATAAAATAAACTAAAAATTCATTTTAGATTTACAAAAAATGGTTAACCCTAGTAACTACCAAATCGATGAGCAAGTTATTCTTGTTGTAGAAAATAAAAGTGAGTGTGAAACTATAAGCTCTTAAATTGAGTGTAGCGTTAAAAAACAGTAAACTTTTATCTAAAATTATGAATAATAAATTGCTGAATAAAATGAAAAAGTAAAACCTTTAGTCCAAAAATCCCTCCTACATATTTAAAATGATTAAAATATCTAAAAAAATATTGAGCTTTTAATATTAAATTAATACATTAAAAAATTCTAATAAAATGGATTCTCTTATAAAATAATAACAATTTAACAAATTTAAGAAAAGGATAACCACCAAATAAATATTTTAGATAGCATCGGTACTTTCTGTGAGAGCATTATAATATAATGAATCGATATAAAAATTACTAAACAACTTTAAATTTTAATCATGTTAAAAATAACGCGTCTAAATATCCTCAAATAAAAATCTTTACTCAAATTTGTGAAATATCAAAAATAATCATTAATTTGATTATTAATATTAATGAATTTCACCTTACTAAACAACTTAAAAAATATTTAATTTACTGAAAATAAATAGAACTAAATAACTTCTAATGAAAATAAATCTTTACTCTAATTAATTACTAAAATATCTAAATAAAATAAATACATTATTAAATTATATTACTAAATTCTATTATATTTATTATTTGCAAATATTTATTTAAATTACTTTCATTTAGATTATTAAATAAATTTTAATCAAATCTAATAAAAATCTATCATTAAAATTTAGATAAATTTAAATCATTCATTTATTTTTATTATTTCATTCAGCTTTTTAAATAATAAATATATATTTTAATTTTGTGAATTAATTAAAATAGATTTAAAATTTATATTAATTAACTTGATAATAGTTGTAATTTTTATAATATGTTGATATTTTATATCAAGTTTCATCATATTTTTTAGCAATAACTTTTACTAATTGTAAAACTAATAATCTATAGTTTTTGAAAAGGTAAAATTGCTATTTACTTTGATAATTATTTATTTATTTATTTGTTCAAAAAATCAAATAAGATAAAATAAATTGTTTTTATTAATTTAATGAAATTGTTAAACCTTTATTTTTATATATTAGAATAGGAATTATTCATCGTATTTTTACTGAGTAATATTTA